CCAGCGGTAACTGATAGCAATGTGATCGATCTGCATCCAAAACTGGTTCGAGGCTGGTGGGCGCCAAGTCACCGTCCGGCGGGTGCTGTGTCGGAAATTAGTGCTCGCAAGAAATAAGCGAGCATCTTCACATTAGTGAAGTAAACGCTCACCGTTATCATTACTGGGGCCTACACTGCATTGTCCGCCCAGATGCTGTTCATCATTGGATAATTTTCCAACTTAAGCGTTCAGATCCCCAGCCAACACAACAGTGTCCGTGCTTCTTCTGTGGCTAAGGAGCTCGTTCAGTTGACGATAGAAGTCGTCTTTTACCGTGTCATCATTAGTTTGTGAGTGCATAAGCAGCGATAGCGGATAGACACCTGTTAGTCCTGCGCGACTTCGGAACTTTGAACGAGCCAACCAATCGGACCGCACACAACCGGCTACTAGTTGGAATCCAATCAACTAGAGTAGCTTCAGCCCGGGGAGTCGGGGCAATACCAACACCGGCTAGGCCGGTGCTCGAAGCTACATCGTTACCGGATAGGTGCAATGAGAAAGTACTGCTAGTGGCACCTGAAGATGATCGCAGAGTGAACACAGAGCTCGAGTCTTGCAGGCGGGTCTCTGATAAGCAGCAGATATCGATGGAGAGGGTCTCCAATGTTCGGGCAAGTGCTGCATGTTGAACGATCTGAAACAGTGTGCGTACATTGAGGTATGCCAATCTGAAGGCGGATCGAGAGCTCCAAATAGAAGCCGATGAACTGGGCTTGACCGTTTGCTTGGACATGAGCCTGGTAACAGGGCAGGATTGACGCTCCGCTTTCACATGTAAGTTGGATCAAGAAGCCAAGCGACCATTGAAGCAATGTGGAGGTGGGCCGAGAACTGGGAGGTTGGAAACAGGGGGGCAACGTAAAACTGGAACGGGACAATAAGGGTGAAAAAGCGTAAGATGGGAATAAGAAGATGGGTAGACTTGGTCAGTAGCATCCAAACCCCTATCCACCCTGCTCGATGCAGCAGATAGAGCGCCGTTGATTATCATCTGCAGCGCCCAGAGCATCAGGAAATCGTTTGAGGAAAGATTCATAGGATTGAGTCGGCAGCATACTGTCAGATTGCCTAAGCCTAGACAGGAAAACGATTAGGGTTCTCAACCAAAGCTTTTGGTTCAAAAACCTGACCGCAAGGCAACTGGTTTGGCGTTGGGCTACAAGGAGTCCGTTTTAAGGAATAAGGAGCCATCCTCATTCCAAACCCCAACCTGGAGGACCAGGAGACTGAGTTTATCTGGCCTCTAACCATTGATCATTCTGGTATGAGTGGCTCTGAAGGTGCAGAAAAGCACCACCCAGCATAGCCCAATTGATCACTGAGGCACACAAACCATCGTACCACTGTAAGGTCCAGCCTCATTGTCATGGCTGACCATGGAGGCGATCGGATGTTGCAAATTCAAACCCATGTTCACGTGGTGCTGAGACGGCACTGCCCACTCAGTAGAATATGTAGCCAGCACCTGCTTCATGCAACTTACCTTGCTCAGCCAGCCCGGTTTCCCTGATCGCTGTAATATCGATGTGGTAATGCACCAGTTCCATCGCGACCAGGGCAGTTCGTCGCTCAGAGCGCGCACTCGAGTTCCAATCCAGTGGTGTGCGCACGTTCCAGCATCCGAAGCTGAGTGCTTTGCTTGCAGGCATACGATTGCATAGGTGGGCAATCGCACGCGAGGTGGCGGATGTGCTTCGGAGGTTTGCTTGAGGGACTCCGCCCGGAGCCTTTGGCTCATCAGCCTGACCCACAAGGCAGTAGGGAGCAGATCCAGCTCGGGAATGTGATTTCAGAGACAGATTGGGATCTGCTTGACGGCCGTCACACGCAGTCTTTGAGGTTCTGGAACGTTTTATATATGTTTTGCGACCGTAGTAGGATACGCACCTGCGACCACGGCCAGATGCAGGTGGGTTTTTGGCGGGTTTGCACCAATTTGACCAGGGGCTGCCTGGCTTAAGGCGGGAAGTATCAAACCATTGGGCACTCGGAGGTGCCCTCCCATCGTCAGAGACAATGCGTGGCACTCGTGCTCTATGCAAATCGAGCTGTGAACTTATAATCCGTAGTCTAGTTGTCTCCCGTGGGTAGGTTTTACTGGCAGAGGGCCATCGACCACTTCCTAACCTCCGAGGAGGATGGACTAGGATACTAGCAGGGCGGAGTCTCGCAAACCAATGCCAGATCCGAATGACTATTGATTGTTTCCTGCTTCGAATGTCAGGCTTTGATTGGTTTACCTGAGTCGATCAAATGATCACGTCTTTTTGTCGATCTGGTGCCTATTGCTGGTTTAACCTGCAGAGCTTCGTAGACGCCCTCCAGCTCTAGGAGTTTGTTAATTTAGTTCCGGCTAGAATGTCAGGCCTCGAGGAACTCACGCGCTCTGCGATTTCTTGCTCTTCCAAGTATTTCAACGTTCTTCAGATCGAACTGATGGTCTTCGGCATCCATGTGTACTGACATTAAGGATTTCTTATCGTGGCGGTGAATGGCCAGACTAAGTTCGTGTAGTCTTGTGCCAACTTTTCTTTCCGTCTGGCCTACATAGTACTTGTCACAGTTATTGCCGGAAATTTTGCAAACTACACCTGATATTTTTCATTACTCAATTTGTCCTTTACCTTAAAAAGTTTACTTCGAATGGGTTCCGTTGCCTCGTTTGCAACATTTATCCCGTGAGGCATTAGTCGCCTCGTTGCCATTTCAGAAATCCAATGGATGTAAGGTAGGATAATCGTTCTTCTTTCTGTTGCACATATGGACCGGGTTATGACTGGCTCTTTGACATCAGGCAGCGTAGAATAAAGCTTCTAGGGTGCGAATTTCGCTGCAACATACAAATAGGTGGTTCTCCTCCTCCTTCCTCAGTTGCGGCGTGCTACAGTGTGTCTGGGCCCGTTTAAAAAGCGTCCTCACGCAACTTCGCTTGTATATGGTCGGATGGTTATTACGATAGTTTAAGATCTGGTTGGTGTGCACCGTTTTCCGATTAACTGTTGTTTCTAGTGACGCAGAAGCATGTTTTCTCACGCGCAAGTCCAAGAATGGCAACTGATCATTGTTCTCTTCCACTTTGGTAAAATGGATGGCGGAAAAATATTATTGATTAGTTGATGTGTTTGTTATAGTCTGGAGCGTTTGAGGATGACAAAAATATCGTCTACGTAACGTATCCAAAGCTTGGGCTCCACTATTGACAATACCTGTTCCAAGATTTGCATCACTGCCTCTACTACCAGTCCAGAGATTGTCGACCCCATTGGGGTACCCGTTACCTGTTTGTACATTTGGGGGCCGTCTGACGCGGACTCTCAGTCCTTCGGCTCTGAATATCATGACTCACAGTTGAGATCACTGACGCTAATGTTGTCCTCTTGTTTAACAGTGTTAATAGAGTTATTGCGATTTTTAATATTACAAATTAAATGCAAATATCTTGGCTCAGATGTGATGCTTTTAACCGAAAAAGCCATTTCTGTGGTAGCGTGAGACATTTTTATTTATCTCGGGCGATTCAAATTCCGGAGTCAGTATTGATGTGGTTTCAGTATCTCCTTGGGTTTTACACTATTCATCTCGAAGAATGTTATTTAAGCGCTTGAAGTGGTAATCGGTAGAGAAGAGCTCAAGGGAGCTTTGTGAGTGGGGCAACCATCACAACCCAGCCCGTGCAGCTTTCGCAGCGTTGATTGTGCGACTTGCGACCAAGCGTTATTGTAGAGAATAATCGACCTCTTTCTGTTGATCAGTGGCAGGCACATATCTAAAGTTTTCGGTGCAGTTCGGCAATTTGTTGAAACTGCTTTTTTGCTGTAATGGTTTTGCCTGGATTCAAAAGCTGTGCTGGATCATACCAACCTCTGTTCACCAAACAGTCATCATAACCTTTCTGGGTGCAATTTCCGCTTTGAATTGTGGAGCTTGATTATGGTTTAAACATTGTGTAGTGCGTCGTCGGCTGTCGTAAAGGATTCACTTTTCATCGCAGGCCACAATCCGGATGGGAAACCAGTCGTTTTTATAGCACAGAACAAGGATAGATGACAGCACAAATCGACGATTTCTTTGATTTGTATTGAAATTATGCGGCACCAACAACATTCCATTCTTTCGTAATGGTTCTGCAAACTGCCACATGCGATACTGCTAGGTCAGAAGCAAAATCTTAAATAGTTATACGCGGACTCGCTTCAACTTAGATCATTGATTGATCGTTGTTCACTTCCGAGGACAGTCCACAGCGCTCTTCATTTTGATGCCTCGTAGAATTTTCGACATTTTTATAACCAGTATTTTGCAGTTCGGTCATTACTGGTTCCAGGGCCAAATGCACTTAGTGTCACGAGCCGTTTCCGTTGAATTTTAACCAAGTTTGAATCGGAGCAAGAAAATTCTGCGGATGTCTCTTATCTATGTTGCTATAAAACTTTGAAAACGGTTTTTGTGCTAAGCTATCGTTACTGACAGAGCGACCAACATGCTTCCAAATGATATAGAGTCCAATCAAATTACTGAACGTTTAATAAAAGTACAGCTGCTAAACTTAAAATATAATAAAAACCGCAATAACTTATTTAGTGACTAAATCTTTTTGATCACTTTTAAACAGAAATTCAAACTCAAATTGGAATATGAGACATCAAAAGAGAACTGCTTCCATGTGTACGAACATTTTCTTTATAGAACTGGAGCTGCTGCTTCCATTTCCACGGTAGTTATTCATAGCACATTTGGTGCACGCGGGCTCATGGATAAGTTATCCCAAATTCGGCAGCAGAGAGGTACACTTCCGCGCAACAAGTGTTTTCTGTACAATAAAACCACCTGTTAAACGATTGGTATTTCTTACACTATATGGTACTGGTGTTTTTAGACGACGTTTTTCTCTTCTTGTTTTTTAAGTGATGTTCCTGGTTCCACAACGGCCTATCATCTGTTTCTCTTTTTCATCAGATAACACTTCTACTGTATGACTGCCAAGAGCACCACTGACTTAGTGATTGCTAAATTTGACTACAAAGCAACTGATACCCATGAACTTGGTATGCAGAAAGGAGAACGGCTAACTTTGTTGGACGATACTCCACCGTGGTGGCGCGTTATGAATTCTCAAGGTAAAACTGGTTATGTACCGAGTAATTTCGTAAAACGATCAAAGCAGGTAAAATTTTCATTTTTATCCTCTCATGTCGTCTACAAGGGCATCTTTTCCAGTCTACGCAACACACTCGGTCGCAGAAAAAGTCGTCAAGAAGGAAGCATCAGTGCTAGACCATCGAAAGCGTCATCTCCTGTCCCAGACAACAACGGAATTGAAAGCAGTGTTGTGAAACACGGAAGTATAGAATCGTTTGGTGAAAAATTTCATCAAATGCACCTGAACTCCATTACACTACCTGCATCTGCCAACCCTAATGGTGATCCTATTCCAACACACGTACCCGATAGGTCTAACCAGTACTCAGTACCTCCTGGTGGTCATACTATGGAACTAGTTCGTCGGTCAACAGCCGGGACTTACGACGCTGCTAGCAGAACACACGATGTAGTTGCCGACAATTGGGGTCCAGGCATTACACGCAATACATCCTTTCAGGTACGAAAACCAAAAGCCTTTTATAACGAGATTTGTTTATCACTGTATGATAAGAATAATGAAACTTACAGCTCTATTCACTTCGTTTACTGGTCTGTGATCAAAATGTTGATGCATTAGTGATCATGATGTTATCGGTGGCCTCATATCTGGACCGTATGATGTTCGGTTTTTGTGCAGCTTGAAGACTGTGTCGAAACGATTGAAGAGATTACCAGTTGATTGCATTAATATGAATGTATACTTTCCTACGTTGCGGAGCATGGGCCAGGACGCTACCGCTTCCTCTTGAGATGTCTTACATTGAGAGATCTGCGGTTATTTATGAGCATTGCCTATTTATTCATCCATGTGCGCTTGCGTCGCTCATGCCACAAGCTTCACTGCAGGTTGCAACCGCAGGTTATGACATCATTTCCAACTTCTTCATTGTGTACTTGCTTTCTGTTTTCCAAAACTTGAGCACACCAGCAGGATTACTGCATGATCTATTTTTCACACATACCTGGCTCGTGATACACTGTCTTACTGCACGTTGTGAAGTGTTTCCCAGTAATAGTTTAGTGTCCCCTTTTGGTTGTTACAAACTACGGCCAACCACTGTCACCTTATGTCACTGATGACGTACCTCTCCCATCTTTGTAGCTACAGAGGAATTACTGCGACTCTTCACCCCTTTCTCTACCGTCGAGTTATATATTTTTCCGATCTTCAGGGCTAGCAGATAGCGGTGCATCATTTGAATTAACTGATAAACTTTTGCTTTCAACTCTGCTTTGGTGCCTCATCGTCCATCCCTTGCGTAAAAGTAGTGACTACATTTCAAAGAGGCTCAATATCTGTTTCCGGTGTGTCTCACTTTGGTACTTAATCCGGCCACCAATTTCACTGCAAGCGTCTTACTTTGAACTCACTATTTCTGATGATGCGTTTACTACGGGAGTTTGAGAAGACGAATATTAGTCTTTTCCTTTTGATGAGCGTTGATTTATCTTTGATAGCTATGTAGCATGCGTTAATGTATGTGGCCGGATTCTCTCTAATCTTACTTGATTGTTGGATCGAGTTTAAACTTTAGCAGAATTTCTTGATTGTTTGCTTGTCACATGATCGCATAAGCGGCCAATGACGCTTAACCTTGGAGGAATTGTCAATTATCACTGATAGACGAAGTCCGTACCAAATGCTGAATGCCGCTTAGCAGGGTAACCCGTGGCGTCCGAGTAGCGAGCGCATTTCAGCGGCTTTCAGTGATTTGATTTGAAGAACGGCTATCCTCTTCATATGTGGAAAACGCGGTAAGGGAGTTGTGATTAGGGTGTCCTGTCTCAGTGAACAGATGGATCAAATGAGCGAGCCAGATTGCCAATGAGAGGCGGACATGATGGATTCGATCACTTAGCGCTGTTTGATCGGTGTTCTTATGGGTTCTTCATCGTTTGCTTAACCGAGTCAAATGAAGAACCTCATCGACCCTAAATGTCATGTTTACTTGAAGTGCATGGCCAATGTATTTCGAAGCGTTCTGCCGCGAACACAATAAGACTGGCAAAAATCTCTGGGCAGAACCGCGTGCTAGCCTGAAGAGAGACCGCGAAGCCTGCTGGTGTCGTCGTGCATCAGGAATGGAAACAGCCGCTGCCGTTGGTAATCATCGTAAGGTATTCCGTCTGGTACGGGAAATAGGCAGCAGGGGACCTGTTGTTAGCGAGACCATTCGCTGATCGACAGCCTGTCTAAACGCTTGAAGCGTTGGACCGAACACTTTTGGGCATTGAGTGTCCTTCTCCCTGGGTCGTCTCATTGGATCCATCCTCACGCGCAGAAATCGAACGTGAGATCAAACTGTTGGAATTGCATTAGGCGACAGGTGCGCATAGAACTCCTCAACACGCTTCAACTTCCGGGGACCTGTTCTTGTCGATGGTTTACATGAGTTGCTAGTGAAACTGTAGGGGCAGGAAACTGTCCCGACAGACTGGAACCACTCCGTCATTGTCCCAATTTTCAACGGAGGCTCCGATCGGATTACGGCAATCATCGAGGGATCAGTCTGATATTAACTGCCTCTAAATTTCTTGCATCTGTCGTTCTCTACAGAATGAATGGCACTCGTGAAAGCCAAACTCGTGAAGAGGAAGCTGGGTTTCATCGAAATTGGGGCTGCCTCGACCACATCTTCACTTTGCGTCAGTTGCTGGAGCACCGCCATGTTTATTGGTGACCCACCGTTGTCGTGTTTCTTGACATAAAATTGGCCTTCGACTCAGTCCATCGATGTGTCCTTTGGGACTGTCTGCTGAGGAAAGGTGTGCCTGATAAATATGTAAGCATTATCAAAGCGCTGCACGCGCATAGTTCGGGCAGAGTGAGGGTTTATCAAAACCTGTCGGCACCCTTCAGTATCACCAGTGGTGGGAGGCAAGGTTGCCCGCTGTCGCCTTTCCTCTTTAACTTCGCAATTGACGAAGTCATGGGAACAGTGTTCGCTGGACACGACTTAGGTGTGGAGCTACTTCCTGGTTACCTCAGTCATCAACAACTGCAATACACCAGCCATTTGGACTGATACTTCACTACCCTACAACCATGATAACCCATGGAATAAAGAATTATATGGAGGATAGAAGCGGTATTCACCTAAAAACTTTAATGCCCTAAGCACACAGTCAGAGTAGAGACGCCTACATGTTGTGCTAACAACATACCGTCACAAACAGCAGGCTATCGTACAAAAATAGGGTGGCATCTGCGAGGCAGCTTTCTTGCGACTTTCGCTGCTCCGCGTCATAATCAGCCATTCCATGCAGATAACACAGCACAAAACACACTTCAGAAAGACAGTCCGACTAGGAGATGGCAGCAGACGCGTCACTGGTGTCGACTGCGAGCCAGGTCCTCTAACGTCTCTAGCCAAGCACAAGGCGGATCACGTGGACTACAGCCCGAGAAGCGAGACGGACCGATGGCACCCAGTTTGGTCGTCAGTGATTTCATTCCCCGCTGCCAAGTCAACTTTTGTGAAACCCGAGTCTTGAGTCACCCTACATCTGACAAATAAAAGAAGGCCGTCCTCGGTAAGTGGGGAGCATGCATACGTAGTAGGTGCTCAAGCCAACGCAACTTATTCAGTGCTATCTGTTGTACTAAGCAGCAAGCTTGGTTATCACTGCCTAGTGTTCGCCTACGCACATCATCGTTGCGGACACGCTCGCGCCATCCGACACCAGCAATGCTCCGTAGAGAGCGATGATCAAAGATTTGAAAGCGCCGCAACGCCTCAAACCGAAGTGGCCAAGTCTCACTCCTATAGAGCAGAACGTCCTTCACTGTGGCCTTGTACACACTGCCTTTCAGACGGAGGAGAACTCCTTCATGTCGCCAAAGATGTCGCAGATCCAAAAATGCAGTTATGACTTCTACAATGCGTGAACTAACTTCAGTTGCTATGCACGCACTGTTGCCGATGCAGCTGCCAAGGTAAGAGAAGTGATCGAGTATTTCGAGTTCCACGTTATCAAGGATCAACGAGTCATCAATTGGCTGGTAGTTCCGTAACAGCGCTTTATACTTTGAAGATGCGAAGCGCATGTCAAATAATTTGACCACTCTTGAGAGATTATTCAGGGTTGACTGCGCCCACCCAACCTAGTTACAAAGCAGGACAGTATCACCCGCATATTCAAGATCAACTAGCTCTTCATCAGTCAGCACCTCAACTCCTGCATTGTGTGACTCCGCAAGGGAAAACTCCAAGATGCAGTCCACGACGAAGTTGAATAAAATTGGGGAAATCGGACAATCTTGACGGATGTCACTCGTTGCGGAATGGCATCCGACAAATCGCACTAGACTCTAACGCGGCCTATGTTGTTCGAGTGTAGTGAATGTAAAGTGTTCTCCTGTTGCATGGGAACACCTTTCCGCAAAAATATTTCGAAAGGAATACATCTGTTGACTGAGTCGAACGCACTCTTTCAGTCGAGGCACACAGTTATCGTCGGACTGCTGTACATGTGGCGCTGCTCTAGAACCTGCCGCAGCATGAATGTATGGTCTATACAAGTCCATCCAGAGCGGAAATATGCCTGATCTTCCCTACTCCGAGATTTCCGTTCCATAGTGAGGCGACGAACGAGAATTGAGGCCAGTAATTTGTCACAATTGGCGGTTGGCTAATACACCTGTAGTTAGCCGGGACGCTAACTTCCTTCCAAACATGTTCGAACGAGGAGGTCAATGCTTTGCAGAGAAGCTCGCCTCCATTTTTACGTAATGCAGATGGGTATGAATCCGGGCTAGCAACATGAAAACGGATAAGGGCTGTGATCGTGCTTGGAATCTCAGCCACCGATGGAGCATCTAAGTTAACCTTCCATGGCTCATCTTGCATCACCTGTGTAAAAGGGGTCAGGAGCAGGGGGCCAAAGGATGTGACCGTAAAAGTGTTCCGCCTAACGAGCTATAAGGCATTTCTTATTGTGTATCATTACCCCTTGCCGAACTACTGGTTGGCTTGCCGAACTACCTCCTCGTCGTGTCAGCTGGGTGGTACGGGTGTACCCCGTTCCAGCAAAGTGTTCCACCTCGGTGGGACATTGTATTCCAGCAATTGTGCTAACTTCATGGAGAGTATTGGGCCCGTGTTTGATAATCTACTAAACAAAAACGCATGAACTGATCTTTCAGTCAACGCCCCCCAATAGGCGCGATTCCCTTAATTCGCCCCGCTGCCTTGCGGGTAGGTTATTTAGCCAAAGGCTCGGGTTGGAGTCCTCTAAGTCAACTCCCTACTTCGGCTTGGGCAACCGGGTAGTATCACGCCCTCTCACAAAACCATGGACTGTATTACAACGTGCTCATCAGCTACTGTTTCTGCTAGTCACTTGAACGCGACTTCATCACACGCCACTTGTTTGTTTGCCACCGTTCCTTACTTTCCTTTACTCGATTCATGTGTTCAAAAATCTGGCTGCGATTCCGGTTGCGCCACGAACCAC